CTGAAGGCCCGCCTTGTGCGCGCGTCGCTGTCTGACATATAGTGTGAACCTCTATGGCGCAATGTCCCTGGTCGAAGGGATGAAGCATTAATGACAGAATTGGAACGGCGTTATGAATTCCGTGAGGTAGTGCGATCCGTGGTTTCTCTGGGATAATGTACGTGGTATGACCACTGGTAGGTGTTCTGTGGTATGACGCTCTCGGAGCAGCGTACTTGCGCACAAGAGGGTGGTATGTGTTGCGACCATGCGTGGTACACATCTCGAGTCGTAGAGCCCCGATTGCGAAACAACTTCGGATGGTCACACGTGCCTTGAGTATAGGTGTTAATGAAAGATAGCTGTGTTGTATTTTTTGTCTTGCTAACGATATATACAAATGTACGCAGACATGTTAAAAAGTGAATGTGTACTCTTCGTAACGATGCCAACAGTGACATGGATGTTCAACACCAGTAGCGGGAAGCTATATAAATGTAGCGCTTGAGCCGGCGCGGACGGCGGCTCTGCGGCAGAATACTTGATTGCTACGCAGAAAGCTTGGGTTCTATTCCTGCAGGCCCCGACATATTTCGCTTATAGATTCGTCCGCTCAACGCAGATGGCGTAAGCGGCGTGATTCCACGTAAAATCGAACACAGCATGGCTGGTCGACCCCTTAAATTTCATTAAAAATTTTATATATTGTTGCCTGATCTGTGTAAAGAAGATATCAGCAATATGTTTTGCCGTAAAAATTTTCTTGGGAGCACCGTAAATCAATAATGACGGAGATGTGGAGTGCCCCACCTAATTATCTGCTCTGTTGCGTTTTTCGAACTCGCCGATGAATTATTTACACAAAGTATATTAATGCTACGTACCTCAAATTTGTTAGGCTATGTATAGGCATACCGGTCCTTACGCTCAATTATATTTCGAGTGTCTGCGTAACGTATACTTTGTTATAAAAATTCTTAAATTTAACATAAAAAGTTTGTCTGTCTAGATTGCAGGCCTTTCTTTCACAAAGGGCGCATAGCAGGGGTGAAAATTCATCATCCTTTTCTCAGCATGCTTATTCATAAAACTGCAAACCTTATATTAATATCACTTTTCTATAAAAAGGTATAATTGGGCTAAATTCAATAAAAGAGCCTGTAAGGCAAACTTTTGACGACGATTAAAAAATATTTTTGAAATTTTTTCATACTTTCTTTTACAATGTTGGTTTAATTGCAGCGCCTCCACGCGGCGCTCATAGTTGTGTTGAGCTGTGCAAGCCTGGCACAGCGGCAGGGTGGCCGTTTTGGAAAAAATAAACCACAGTTCGTTCTGGGCCACGGGGGAAGGAAAGGTAAGGAGAGGCCCTGACGTCACTCGTTGTGAAGCCGGAATGAAGCCGGAAGTCGGCCATATTGACTAGGCAAATTCTCCTCGCTTGTTTACATCCGAATGTAAAGCAGAAGGCACGACTCTCTCTCTGGCTTGGAAAGCACGTGGGCTGCGCAGCGCGTGTGTCGTGACGATCCGAAACTAATGGAACGGGGCTCATTACTCCGAGCCTGCGGGACACCTTCAGCGAAATCGCTTTGTCCGAGTAATAACAGGGAGTAACAGCTCGCCGACAACGAAGCAACTACGAGAGAACGCGCGCTAGATGCACTGACAACGGCGAGTGCTTTCACGCCAACAATTCAGCAACTGTACAGACAACACGATCGATCGTGCGCCTTCTACGATTGCATTCCGCCACGCGGCCGACGCAGTGTCCTGCCACTGTGTCCGTGTTCCGCGTGAAACTCACCGGCGTCAGCATTCTGCGACCGTGGTGACTTTGAGCACGGGGCTAGTGACAGTTGAACGCGGTTGCTGTTACCTTGAGACTACATGCAATGCTGGTGGAGAGTGTACCAAGCGGAACAGAAAAGGGGTTTTAATACGCACATGCAAGTTGTTACTGTACACACAACACGAAACTACGTATGTGCACATGGTCCTCATGGCGTCTTGTTGGGCCCAACAGCGTCGTCCGTTGTCACAAGCAGGAGCACTGATCAACCGTCACTGACCTTCAAGGCGTTCATCGTCATTCAGCTTCGTCATGGGGCCCAACGCAATTTCGCTGAACACTAACTGCTTCATCCGCGTCATCCGCCGCACGACACATGGATATTTATTTATTTATTTATTTATTTATTTACAGATACTGCAATCACCTTCGGTGATTTTAGCAGGGTGGTACATTAAGTTAGTCATGAACAAATGGCAAGTACAATGTCATATAATATATACAGGTTATACAATGTCTATAGGGCAAATACAAACTTCAACTGGCAATATCATACAATAAAAAATAGAAGACTACAATTATACAAGCATGTACAGTGGTATGTAATACGATTCAACAATTCAACTGGTTAGTGCACTTTCTAATTTCGAGGAAAACAATGCCAATGAGGGTGCTGAAACAATTGCATTAGTTAGTTTGTTCCACTCGACTATGGTGCGAGGAAAAAATGAATACTTAAAGCAATTATTGTGTGTGGGAAAGGGGGTTATGGTGAGGTCATGTCTCTGCCTGGTAGAGTAGCCAGAAGAAAAAGAAAAAATATCGGCTATGTCTACTTGATATTGGCCGTTAATTAGTTGGTACAGAAACTTAAGCCTTAAGTTACGGTATCTTAATGATAAAGGTGAAAGTTGAGCTCTGCTTAATAGGTCAGTAACAGAAGTCCTCGAAAATTATTGTAGACAAAACGAACTGCTCTTTTTTGCACTTTTTCTAATTTGTTAATGTTAGTCTTAGTAAAAGGATCCCATATAATAGCGGCGTAATCTAATATTGGTAAAACAATTGATTTGTACGCTAAAAGGCGGACAGAAGGAATGGATAGTTTGAGAGCACGACATAGAAAAAACAGTTTGTAAGTTGCATTGGCCGTTACATGTGTAATGTGTTTGTTCCAGCAGAGATCATTCGATATGAAAAGCCCCAAGTACTTATAATTAGTGACTTCAGTCAAAAAGGTGTTGTTAGCATTGTATCTGAAATGCAAAGGTTTTTTCTTGTGTGTAATTCGCATAAAAACAGTTTTATCAAAGTTAATGACCATCTGCCATTCCTCGCACCAGGAGGCTACTTTTTGAAATGCCTGATTTAACAGGAGTTGGTCGGATGTGCTATGAACCTCAGAGTACAAAACACAGTCATCTGCGTAAAGTTTCACTTTAACAGGAATTCGTTCTACAATATCATTAATGAACAAAAGAAACAGTAGAGGCCTTAGAACTGAGCCCTGGGGAACGCCAGAACCAACCATTACACATTTTGAGTTGCAACCGCGAAAAGAAACAAATTGTTGTCGTTTAGTTAGGTAGAAAGAGAGCCAGCCCATTAACTTTTTGTTTTTAAGTACTTTCTCTAATTTAAAAAGTAATTTTTTGTGGGAAACCTTATCGAAGGCTTTGGCGAAATCCATAAAAATTGCATCTAATTGTTTTCCGTGGTTAATACTTTTCGCAAAGTCATGTACGGTTTCAACTAGTTGAGTGCAGGTTGAAAAACCTTTTCTAAATCCATGCTGATGTCTAGTTAAGAAATTGTGTTTGTTGAGAAACTCTACGATATGATTGTGTATTATATGTTCTAATATTTTGCAACATGTATGCAATTGTTCTACGCACTGTTGAAACCTCGTGATGGACAAGGATTTGTAAACGTTGCTAAGAGTAATGTAACTGCCAGGAGAACACTGCGTAACCAATAACGCGGCCCAGAGCACAGATATTGTCCGCCACGGCTCAGCACGAGACCTGAGGAGGCACACATTCCGCCGCCAGCCGCGGCCGCTCACTGCGAGACCAGCTCCACTGCGCAACACGTAACCATAGCAACGCCGCCGTTGTGCCTAGTGAATATGGCCGCCATGATGTCATTTCCGCCACACTTTTTACGCCCTGCGCCGGCTGGACATGTCTTCTCCTTACCTTTTTCTTCCTCCGTGTTCTGGGCTAAGGGCTCAACATGTTCCCGTGTTCTTCGCGGGCCTGATGGCCTACTGTTCATGGTAGTCACTACCGCCTGGCCATCAGTTAATCTACACATGTAACAACTGGCGACGAGGATGAAAGGAAGTTTCATGTAAGTCTTCGTTCCCGCAACTCTCTGCCATCTGTTCACCATGCCAAGTTTCGGCAACCTCGAGCCATTCGAGGGGGGAGGAGACGACTGGCCCTGTTACGTGGACTGGCTCAAAGAATTTTTTCTGGCGAATGATTTCGCTCCAGACAAGCGTACTGCCGTGTTCATCAGCTGCTGCGGGCAGAAAACGTATGCTTTGCTCCGCAATTTGCTCCAGCCCGCCAAGCCCAGTGACAAGAATCTGGACCCAATTCTTCGAGTACTTGGAAGCCATTATTGTCCGAAGCCCTCTGCCGTCGTGCAGCGTTTTCTTTTTAACTCGCGCGTTCGCGCGAAAGGGGAATCAGTCAGCAATTTTATCGCAGCACATAAAAGCCTGTCCGAGCACTGCAGCTTCGGGGCTGAACTCGAAAACATGATCCGCCACCGCGTCTTGTTTGTCATAAACAACGTGGATGTTCAAACAAGACTTCTGGAAAAACCGGACCTCACCTTCGACGACGCTGTGCACAACGCCCTGGGAATGGAAGCAGCAAAAAAAGACGCAGGTGAGATGGCGCAAGCAAACACAAGCAGCGCTTTCTCGACTCACCGTGTCTCGTCAGGTTCTGGGGGCGTCACCTGCTGCCGCTGTGGGGACAGACATCTTGCATCAAAACGCAAGCATGTAAAGACAATCTGCAATTACTGCCACAAACGAGGTCATTTGGCGAAGGTGTGCAATTCGCGACGAAGGCTCAGCCAAGCCCAAAGCAACAGCCCTACCAAGTCACGTGCGTTTTCGGCTTGCAGTTCACCGCCGTTCAGTAACCGCCATCGTGTTAATACGGTACGCAAGCAGAACGCCACTACCACATCATCTTACGAAGTTTTTGACATGTGGCCGGTCGACTACGCCACGCCGCCTCCGCCTTTCATCGTCACTGTTGACGTTTGCGGCAAGCCGCTCCGCATGGAAGTGGACACGGGGGCAAGTGTCTCTGTCATGGCCAAGTCGCGTCTTCTTAAGCTTTTGTCTTCGGTTCCTGTGCAGCCGTCACAAGTGCTTCTGCGAAGCTATTCCGGGGAACTAAAAAATGTTCAGGGCAAGCTGACATCAGTGTGAAGTTTCATGGCAGGGAGGCCGACCTACCTATTTTTCTGACCGGAGACGGATCGCCCACTCTTCTTGGACACAACTGGATGCGTGAGCTGGGCATTGGCATCTCCGATGTTGAAGTTGTAGTGAATAAGAAAGACGTTGATACCATCAGGTCAGCTATCATCAACACAAGATAAAGGCACGAGATCGGCGATCAAGCACCGTCATCTGGGTCCGCCTGCATTCCTTTGGAGCTACCACCCGCTTGCTCAGTCCTTCAATAAACCCCCTTTACAATTGGTGGATCGTGCTGGGTAACTGCATCACCTACACCCTGGAACTCCGATCCCGCACCTTGCCGTCGACCATGCAAGTTGACGCTGCCCAACAGACAGCACCTCTCACGGCCGCTGCTTGCCCCGGCCCGGTTCACCAGCGAGACCCCCCAATCTTTTCGGGCGCCGAAGACCAGGACGTCAAGGACTGGCTGTCGTCCTACGAAAAAGTCAGTGGACCAAACAGGTGGGATGACGCTGCTAAATTGAGCACCGTCAAATTTTACTAGGCTAATGTGGCGAAACTGTGGTACACAAACCACAAATCTGAGTTCGAAAACTGGGCCACTTTCAAGCAGGCAATATCCTCGGTTTTCGGTCGCCCTGACGTGCGGAAGTTGCGCGCCGAACAAAGCCTGCGCTCACGGACACAAGAACCTGGCGAAACGTTTACCGCCTATATCGAAGATATACTCGATCTCTGCAGGCGCGTCGATGACGCATTGAGCGAAAGTGCCAAGATCCAGCACATTATGAAAGGTGTTGATGACGACGTATTTCAAATGCTCCTTGCGAAGTCTCCTGGCACGGTGTCTGAAGTGGTAACTCTGTGCCAGAACTACGACGAATTGCGACGGCAACGAGCTCTCACCCGTCGCCCATTTCAGCCTAACCAACCACTCGCTGCACTGGACGTCGTACCTGACCACTCCCGCCTTCTAGCACAAATGAAAAACTTTGTGCGTGAGGAGGTCGCACGTCAGCTTTCCCTCCTGCCGTTTTGTCAGCGCCAAGAGCTCCCGCAGCAGCAGCAAGAGCAACCACCGACACCGTTAGCTCCCATGCTCTGACATGCACTTCAGGACCAGATTGCCGAGGCTGGGCCAGTGCCCTTTCAGCAGCAAGTTGTCGCCGCGCCTCTTACTTATGCTGACGCAGTAAAGAGGCAGCAGCCACACCAGCCCTCGCCGTTCAATGGACTGCCGCATGTCACCGCTCCCACTCAGTCTTCCGTCGCATGGGCTCTCCCCTCGCTACCACAGCCTCGACTCAGCCGTATGCCGCGTGGGCGGCGCCCCTCGCTGCAAATGCCTAGCGAACGCGCGATAACCGGCCGATCTGTTTTGCGTGCGGCAGCCCTGGCCATATCTCCCGATACTGCCGTCGTCGCGTGCCCGTCTACACAGACGTCCGACCACGAAGCAACTACATGGACCGACCCCCTTTTGGTTATGAAAGTTCGGATCGTCAGTCAAACACGTCTTCCCGTGACTATCCGGCAACTTCGTCTCGTCGCTCACCTTCACCCAATCGATGCTCCTTGTCACTCATGCGTCCGCCACCAGCCCCTCAAAATGAGGGAAACTAGCCGTCGCAGTTCAAGGGGCAAGAACTGCGCTATCGAAATGTTCAAGTCCTCGCACCTTGCCGTCAAATATCGTCGAAGTTTTTGTAGACGGCGGCCATGCATACGCTCTTGTGGATACCGGTGCCGCTGTGTCTGTTATAGACACCAAACTTTGCCGCAAGCTCCGAAAGGTGAACACGCCGCTTGATATGATGTCCTTACGTGCAGCAAATGGAGAACCTGTTTGACCTATAGCCGCCTGCACTGGCCGACTCAAAATTGCGGAGGACCACTACATTGTTGAGTTTATCGTCCTTTCCTCGTGCTCTCATGACATCATACTTGGCTGGGATTTTCTATCGCGTAATCATGCCGTTATAGATTGTGCCCGTTCCGAACTTGAACTGCTTCCGTTGTTCGACCAGCCCTACGACCACACTAATCAAGCCGCGCACAAGCTAGTTGTCAAAGAGGACACTGACATTCCACCGACAACAGCTGTTTTGCTCCCTGTGGTCTCCGACGGCATGCGTGATGAAGTAGCATTTTTTGAGCCATCAAGCCTCTTTCTAAGTCGGAAACCACTTCTGCTCCCTTATTCAGCCCTCTCAATTTCTAATGGAGCCAGTGCTCTCTGCCTTACCAATCCCTTTCCGCATACCATCAAACTGTTTAAAGACGAATCTCTTGGATGCGTACAGCCCATTGATAACGGACAAATTTTTACCGTGCCGCAAGAATCATCCCAAAGTGACCTCGCCGCCGTCAGTACTCTTAACCACTCTGATCTACAGGCTTGAAAAGTGTTCGATTCGGCGATCGCAGACGGACTGTCACCATCTGAACGATCTGAACTCCTTCAACTGCTGTACCAGTACCGTGAATCTTTCGATGTAGTTCAACCTTCACTTGGCCGCACTTCTACCACTCTACATTACATCGATACCGGCTCCCATGCGCCACTAGGACAGTGACCATATCGTGTGTCTGCGGCGGAACGCCAAGTTATTACCGAACAGGTGAACGATATGCTGCAACGCGGCGTCATTCAACCTTCACAAAGTCCATGGGCCTCACCTGTAGTGCTCGTTAAAAAAAGGATGGTTCTGTTCGCTTCTGCGTGGTTTACCGGCGCCTAAATAAGATCACTCGAAAAGACGTGTATCCTTTACCCAGGATTGACGATGCCCTTGATACTTTACAAGGGGCCGAGTTTTCATCATTAGATTTGTGCTCAGGCAGGTCCCCCTTGCAGATGCCGATCGACCAAAAACAGCCTTCGTGACACCGGACGGTCTGTATGAGTTTAATGTCATGCCCTTCGGCCTCTGCAATGTGCCTGCCACCTTCGAGCGCATGATGGACTCGGTTCTTCGGGGTTTGAAATGGCAAATCTGTCTCTGCTATCTCGACGATATTGTCCTCTTTGCGCCAGACTTTGGAACTCATCTCGAGCACCTCAAACACGTCCTCACATGCCTGAAGAATGCTCAGCTCCAACTCAACCTCAAGAAGTGTCACTTCGTTGCTCGGCAACTTACGATTCTCGGGCACGTCGCATCAAAGGACGGTATACTTCCAGACCCGGCTAAGTTACGTGTTGTCGCCGATTTCCCCAAACCAACGACTATGAAGCAGTTACGGAGCTTCGTGGGGCTCCTACTTTCGCAGGTTCATGCGCAACTTCGCCTCTATCAATGCGCCTTTGACCGAACTTATAGGCAACACCACCGATATTTCGTCATGGTCTTCTGAGTGTGACCAAGCCTTCTGTACCCTTCGTCGTCTCCTCACTTCGCCACCAATACTGCGTCACTTCGATCCTACGGCAGCAACTGAGGTCCACACCGACGCCAGTGGTGTCGGCCTCAGTGCGGTTCTCGCGCAGCGCAAGCCTGGATTCGCCGAGTATGTCGTCGCCTACGCCAGCAGAACTCTCACCAAGGCTGAATCAAACTACAGCGTCACCGAGAAGGAATGCTTGGCGATCGTTTGGGTGCCTGTCAAGTTCCGCCCATACCTTTATAGCCGTGCTTTTGATGTAGTAACGGACCACCACGCATTATGCTGGTTATCTTCGCTTAAGGACCCATTGGGTCGTCTTGCCCGTTGGGCTCTTCGGCTTCAAGAATATGACATTCGCGTTGTATATCGTTCCGGCCACAAGCATACCGATGCTGATGCACTGTCACGATCTCCCCTATTCCCGGACATTGCATCTGTTTCCTCGGACAACACGTTGTCAGCTCTTGACGAGGACACCATCTCTTCTGCACAACGCAATGACCCAAGGATCACTTCGCTTCTTGACGGGTTATCCGAGGCACCAACACTTCCAACCACTCGAACCCTTCGCCGCCAGGCTCCGCACTTCAGTATTCGGGATGGCCTTTTGTACCGGTGCAACTATTCAGCGGATGGTAGGAAATGGCTACTAGTCATTCCCCGAACGCTGTGCTCTACCATCTGCGCGTCGTTTTGTTCCGACCCGCAATGTGCTCACGCCGGTGTTTTCAAGACCTACGAGTGCCTACGAAAAATGTATTACTGGCGCGGAATGTTTACCTTCGTCCGCCAGTTCATTCGCGGCTGTCACGAATGTCAGCGGCAGAAAAGCCCGCCGCCACATCCGGCAACAAGCTCATTGCCGCCACTTCCATGCCCAGACCGCCCATTCGACCGTGTAGGAATGGACCTCTACGGACCACTACCATTACCAACGGCAGGCAACCGATGGGCTATCGTGGCAGTGGATCATCTAACACGGTACGCTGAAACTGCTGCTCTCCCTACAGCTGCAGCACAAGACGTCGCAACTTTCATACTCAATCGTTTTGTGCTTCGTCATGGTCCTCTTCGAGAACTCCTCAGTGACCGAGGGCGTGTTTTCCTCTCCGATGTAATACAAGCACTTCTTCAACAGTGCCATATTGTTCACCGGAAGAGTACAGCCTACCACCCAAAGACGAACGGCTTGACTGAGCGGTTTAATCGTACTCCGGGGGACATGCTCGCTACGCATGTCGCTTCTGATCAAACAAACTGGGACCTCGTTCTCCCATTTGTGACATACGCGTATAACACCGCTACGCAAGTCACTACCTGGTTTTCTCCATTTTTTTCTCCTGTACGGTCGCCAACCATCGCACAACATCGACACTTTACTGTCATACTCGCCAGATCCCTCCTAATGCAAGCCTGTCTCGGAAGCCGCTCGTTACGCAGAAGAGTGCCGCAAGCTAGCCAAGCGGCTTACTTTATTCGACCAACAGCGCCACAAGGAGACCCGTGACGACGACCATCGTTCTGAACCGACGTTCGTTCCTGGAGCACTTGTATGGCTTCATGTACCGCCCTGCGCCCCTGGTGAATCACCCGAGCTACTCTCTAATTATCATGGTCCCTACCACATGGTCGAGCGTACTTCACCCGTGAACTACGCCATTGACCCCTCACGCCACCGAGCGACCGTCGTCGGCATGGACGTGATATCGTTCACGTAAACCGTCTGAAGCCCTACTTTGACCCGCTTGTCCCCATGTGTTAGATTGCCAGGATGGCTTACACTTTTTCGCCGGGGGTAATTGTAGTGAATAAGAAAGACGTTGATACCATCAGGTCATCTATCATCAACACAAGAAAAAGGCACGAGATCGGCGATCAAGCACCGTCATCTGGGTCCGCCTGCATTCCTCTAGAGCTACCACCCGCTTGCTCAGTCCTTCAATAAAGCTCGTTACAAAGTGAACATCCACGCACTTTCCGGCGTCAAACACCTACTCCAAGACTACGCCGAAGTGTTTCAAGAAGGCCTGGGTACATTCAAGGGTGCTAAAGCTTCTCTACATGTTCCTTCAGATGCTCCGCCTCGGTTCTTCAAGCCACGTCCATTGCCGTACGCCTTGACAGATGGAGTAACTCAAGAAATCCATAGACTAAGAAGAGATTCCCTTCTTGTTCCAGTCAAGACAGCAAAGTAGGCTGCACCTATTGTTCCTGTGACCAAAAGAGATGGACGAATCAGAATCTGTGGAGACTTTGGTGTCACCATAAACCCAGTGGCAACAGTGGAGCAGTACCCCATTCCAAGGATCGAGGACCTGTGGACTGTGCTTGCTGGAGGTTAGAAATTCACAAAATTGGATTTGCGAGATGCGTACCAGGAAGTTGCCCTTGAGGCCCCCAGGGAGTATGTCACAATTTCGACGCATATGTGGTTATTTCGGTACACCCGGTTGCCTTTTGGTGTCTCATGTGCTCCTGCCTTATTTCAGCACGAGATGGAGAACTTGTTCAGGGGACTGCCCCATGTAGCAGTCTATTTTGAAGACATTCTTGTGACTGGCGCAAATGATGCTGAGCACCTTCGCAACCTTCGTGCTGTACTTAGCAAACTTCAGGAATTGGGCCTCAAGCTGAAACTTGAAAAATGCCATTTCTTCGTGCCGCAAGTTGAGTATCTCGGGCACATCATCAGCAAGGAAAGCCTTTCCCCGAATGTTGACAAGGTAGCAGCCATTCAGCATGCTCCTGTGCCTCAGGATGTCAGGGAACTTCAGAGTTTCTTGGGACTTATAAACTTCTAGAGGCGCTTCCTACCCAATCTTTCGTCACTCCTTCGTCCACTGCACTTACTTCTTTGTGAAAGGAAGAAGTGGGAGTGGAGACATGAACACAAGATACATTCAATGCCTGCAAGCACTTGGTGACATCAGCTCCAGTTCTTGTGCATTTCAACCCTGCCAGGCCTGTTTGCCTCGGCTGTGACGCATCGCCTGATGGTATAGGTGATGTTCTGGCGCACAAAAATGCTGATAGCGGGGAACATCGCATTGCTTTGGCCTCGCCTCGAAGAGCTTGTCAAAAGCGGAACAAAACTACAGTCAACTCGACAAGAAGACACTGGCTTTAGTGTTTGGTGTGGATCGGTTCCACCAGTACTTGTGGGGCATCTCATTCGAAGCACACACTGACCACAAGCCACTTCTTGGACTGCTGGGTGCCAACAAGCCCGTTCCCCTGCAAGTTTCGCCTCCAGTGGTCAGGTGGGCTCTGAAGCTGTCTGCTTACAAGTACGAACTTGTATACAAGCCTGGCAAACAGCTCGGCCACGCTGATGCTCTTAGTAGACTGCCTCTCCCAACTGACACTACTGCATTACCACGACCGGCTGAAATCTTCTTGCTAGAGGAGGCATATCCGAGACTCCTTCCACCAGGTGTTGTGGCCAAAGCCACACGAAATGACATACTTCTGAGCCATGTTCTTGTCGTTCTGAAAGGAAAAAGCCTCCCAGTAGGACCAGAGTGGAACCCTTTCAATATCAGAAGCTCCGAACTCGGTCTCCATGAGGGTTGCCTGCTCTGGGGATCAAGAGTAGTGATCCCAAAGTCTTTGCAGGCCCAAGTTCTTGGTGTTCTTCATGCCAGCCACCCGGGTATCGAGAAGAGCAAGATGATTGCCAGGAGCCATGTTTGGTGGCCAGGCATTGACAATGATATTGCCAACAGCGTGAAGAGCTGCGCTACATGCCAGACTCAACATCGAGCTGCACAGCCGGTTCAGCAGACGCCGTGGTCTTTTCCACAGCGACCCTGGTCAAGGCTTCACATTGATTTTCGAAGACCATTTCTAGGTCACACATTCTTGGTTATTGTGGATGCATTCTCAAAGTGGATAGAAGTCTTTCCTGTGTCTTCCACATCTGCAGAAGCTACCATTTCTGCATTGAGAATTGCATTCGCTCAGCATGGCCTGCCTGATGTCATAGTTTCAGACAACGGTCCTGCCTTCACTAGTGCCCAGTACCTTGAGTTCTTAACTCGTAATGGAATACGCCGCATGCTTGTACCGCCATATCACCCTGCCTCAAATGGTGTAGCTGAAAGAGTTGTACAAACTGTGAAGAACAAACGCAAGAAGTCTAGTTCTGGGAACTTCCTAACGCGATCTCCAGATTTCTGTTCCACTATAGGACCACACTACATGAAGTGACAGGTCGGTCACCGTATGAACTCTTGACAGGAACAATGTTCAAGACTCCGTTGGATGTCCTCAGGCCAAGCCTGCAGGCATCTGTATTCCTAAAACAACTCGAGCAGAAGTTGTATGCTGACAGAGGGTCCCGGCAGGCTCCATCACTACAGCCAGGTGATGATGTGTACGCGCCAAACTTTCGCAGGGGCACACCCTGGGTGCCTGCCAGTGTCGTGGACGTCACTCCGTCATCAGCCAGTGTCCGTTTTGAAGATGGCACCTTGGGAAACCGACACAGCGACCACTTGCGCCTTGTGCAGACAGAAACATTGGCCTCTCCTGAAACTGCTATCGCTGCAGCTCCACAAAAGTTGGAGCCGCCGCTTCATCATGCGCCAGCTGTTCCAGAAGTGTCTCATCAGGAACAGCTACCTGGAACCAGCTTCTCTGGGAGTAGCTGTGCCACGGAGTGTGACGGGACTGCGCTCAACAGTGGTGTGCATGTGAACAGTGACTCTGTCGTGCCTACGCCTAACACGCCGAAGTTGCGACGTGGCACAAGAACTAGGAAACCGGTGAATAGGTACTCCCCGTAGTCTTCCTCCTAAGAGGGGAGAAGTGTTACAATGTTGGTTCAAATGCAGCGCCCCCACGCGGCGCTAATAGTTGTGTTGAGCTGTGCAAGCCTGGCACAGCGGCGGGGTGGCCGTTTTGGAAAGAATAAACCACACTTCGTTCTGGGCCACGGTGTAGGAAAGAGAGGTGGTTCAATGTGGCGGGCGAGCACGGCGAAACTTTGTTTGGTCGGATGTGTGCGCTCGTAGGTGGCGCATCGCGAACAGGCGCCATGTACTGTGGGTCTTCAGTTGCCACGGGCATGAAACGCGCATCGCACTGTTCCGTACACAGCGCATGCTTGGATTTCGGTGGCATAAATTCAGGGTCGCTTCAAACGAAAATAGCGTTTCGAAAGAACTGAGGTTCTTTGGGACGTCTCGAGTTGGTATGTGAATTTTAAGGCCGAAGCACATGCACGCTGTTTGGGACGTGACAGCAACTGTAGCTTCAACAATTCTTCACGAAGACGCAACCATCTCTGCGACTAACTTAAACAGATAGGAGCAATTAAATGTTGCGGAGCACCAGTGCTATCAACCACGGTCACGGTGACTTCGGCATACGAAGGAAATTTGAATTTCGCTGAACTAGAGCACACGCATGAATCAAATATCTACTAAAGTTTTGCGTTTTTTTAAACATAGTTTTGCAGTTATTCATGCCTAATAAGCTTGTTCGCACATATATATGTTTATTGCACTGTTTTACAGAAAAATGTACGCAACAAGAAACGTTGAGGATATCACACACATTCAAACACCAAGCCAAATACTCTGTTTAGGACGCATGTGCAGTCACAAGTTTTGACAGTTTTCTGAGCTTGTGTATCTTGTTTTCCTTTTCTTTTCTCTGTTTACAATACTGCCTCATCTGAAGACCCACATAATAATGCAAGATTTTAGCAATTACTTCATCTCTGTGGGTGATGCAAGGAAATGAGAGCCAGTTGTTATCTAATATATGATCAATGGTGAGCTCGTAAGCATTCCTTTGCGTGCAATTTCTTTGAAACTCTACTTCTGCGCATGTCTTGATTAATGTCAAGCAGTTTCCACGGCACTATGTGGCTTGTGTCAGCAGCGCACTGTGGTTCTCGAACACGCCGCAATTCTGAGAACACAACATTGCGAAGCTCGTCAACCTGCAGTCGGTGAAAACCCTAAGTTGTTAACGGAAGCTCAACGCATGCTGGGCTTCTAAACAGTTCATCAAAAGTCGACAGCGCTGCAAGGGGTGCCGAGGTACAATCATGCAAGAGCATGTGCAAAGCAGTAGAACCACTTTCGTGGGGATCCACAAAAAATATTAAGAAAGCGAGCCACAGAGTTCCTGGATTTGCTTTCAGTGCTTCTTGAATTTCTCGTTAACGTGAAGTTTCTCGGCTGGCCTCTTGCGTTTTTCCTCTTTCGAGAGACAGCTTGGGCAGTCTGGAGAAATACTGGGCACTGCATCTTCGAAGAGGGACGCTTTACGGGCTGCTCGACACAAAACATTGCTGTTGTAGACCGCTTCTCAGGTTTCGCTCACCAAATGAGGCTTGAAGTGCCGTTCGCAGAGGTGGTCTGTTGACTGTAGGATTCAATCCTTGCATGGAATGGCATTCCTCCACACCAGAAGACGTTCTTCACCTCTCGGCGCAGAAAACAGCGAAAGTCTTTCGGTACAAGACTTGTACCCTGTGTTACAGAGTGGGGCGAAACACTTCTTCCCCATCGCTTTTACGTGGCCACACGCACGTCGTATAAGCTCCCAGGGTTAACCAAATTTTCAAAGATTGCGGATAATTCACAAAAAAAGAGAGAGAAGTCGACGCATAGTCGAAGGGATCCATCTTTTTTCTTGATGACGACCAGTGGAGAAACCCAGTCGGAAGCAGAGACAGGCTCGATGATTCCGCTGGCTTGAAGGCGAGACAGTTCCGCAGAGACTTTCTCACGGAGAAGAAGAGAAATGCGGCGCAGCTTGGCACGCACAGGGCACACACCTGGTCGACGCATCACTTTATGCACAAATTCACACACACAACCCAGTTCACGGGTGAACAGGTGGTGGAATTCAGAAGGCGCGTTGGCCGGAAGATCATCTTGGACGTCGACTTGAGCACATGTCATAGACGCACCGACGATGTTGATGGACAAAGCCCTGATGGCATCACGTCCCAAAAGCGAGCTGCCATTGGCAGTTACATGAAAAGTAATGGAAGCAGTGCGACTGCGATAGGAGACCTGAGCAGTAAAATGACCTAACTTATCAATCGTTTCCTTGGAATATGTTTGTAGAACGACGTGTGAAGGCAAAAGCCGAACGTTGGAAAAATGACTGTGAAAGTCAGCGGCACTGATTAAAGAGACTGAGGCACCAGTGTCCACGAGAAATGACAAGGGCACATGGCCCAATGAAACTACGATGCTGGGCTCGGACGTAGTGTGGAGGCCATCCACATTTAAAACAGTGACCGTATTGTTTTGTGCAGTGCTCGAAGGAGCGGACGAAGAAACTGGTTCCGGAAGATTTGCTGGACGGGAATTGCATACGGACTGAAAATGTCCGATTTTTCCGCACGCAAGACAAGTGCGGTTTCTCGTGGGACACTGCGAAAAATTGGCTAAATGACGAGCCAATCCGCAACGAAAGCAACGTGCGGTTGCGCTTGGAGAAGAAATTTGCGAACGCGAGTTAGGAGCTCGGTGCTGTTCCTGAAAACCAGAATTTGGCGGAATGGGGTCGCCATATTGTCGGCTTCCTGGCCCCCGTGACGCAGAGGGGCCGCCATGTTGGCCGCCACGGAAGGACTGTGCAGGCGGGCGTCCATGTTGGCCGCCATGCCGAGACGAAGAACCGCCATTTTGACGCGTCCCGTGAAACAAAGAGCCGCCGCCTTGGCCCCCCGCAGCAGAAAGTTGCTGCACTGAATGCGGAGCGAATTGCTCCAACTGGGAGCGAATAAGCTCGTCCTCTCGCGCAATCGAGAGGGCTTCGGATAATGAAATCGAGGAGCCTTTTTGAAGCATTCGGCAGCGGACGTCTTGCGAGGCTACCCCGGTGAAAAGCTGATGGCGGATCATATCGTCCTCGAGCGCGCCGAAGCCGCACGACGCGGCGAGCGTTCGAAGAGAAGTAATGAACTCGGCGACTGGCTCACCAGGCAATTGTCGCCTTTCTTGGAATTTCACGCGTGTGAGATAATCGCACGAAACATCTTTAAAATGCTCATCGAAAAGAGCAACAGCATTCTTGAAGGCATCGCCCGACGCTGGCGTCGGCGACGCGTTGGTGGCTTCCAAAGTATTGAAGAGCTTTAACCCGGCAGGGCCCAACGCGTTGAGCAGCAGGGCCTTGCGACGCTCGGGCTTGCTGGCGTACTCCCCGACCACGTCTCCGTAGGCCTGAAACACCAATTTCCAGTCCGCCCACGGATGTGGCGGGTCTCTGGGCGAATTAAGAAATAGGGGAGGTGGAAAGCATTGCTGTGTTGGGGGCTGGCTGGTTCCGACGAAGCAGAAGAAGCAGACGGCCGACGGAGACGTACGCGGCCGGCGGGGACACCGACCAGCCCGAACACGCGGGTTGGCGCGCAGCGCCGAAGAAAGGAACAACAACCGCACTCCACGGTTACCGAACACACACTGCCTTTATTTTACAGTCACCTTGAAATCCTAGATGCCAGAGCGGCGCCCCTGGCATCCTCACATGTCAATCCGAAACCGAAACTGAAAACCCAAAACACAACAGTGACACGTCAGTATTTTTAAAGAAAGCGGCCTGCCGGTTACCTCGTCAGGTAATGGTACACTGAGCGACATAAAAAAAGTTCTCCGAGACTACGTTGCAGTGCAGCTTTCTGTAATCAAAACTTTAATAAACCGTGGAAATCAACATTCCTGACACCTGTGCTGAAGAAACCAATGCAGCCAGCTGCATTTGAGTTTTTGTGTCTTTTTGCGTCTCGCCGATTAAGAGCACTAATTTGCAAAACACTTTATCATAATCAATATAGTGAATTCTGCAAGAGTCATCAAATATCCAATATTAAGGGGCCTGTGGACGGGACCTACTACCACCAGCAGCAAGTCGGGCTGATGAGGAGGCGCAAATGAGGCGCAATGCATGCGTTAACAAAAAAAAGTATCGATAACTGCAATGGGACTTGAACCACCGACCTCACCAGTTCATGTGTTGCTTTAACCAACTACGCCACAACTGCCTTTCTTTTATTGCCTTGCATATCATGACTGTTCACATTTTACATATTGGTCCAAATTCAAGTGCGTCACAAAATACACCCACAGAATTCATTGAGGTACCGTCTGCTCTTGGCTGACTATTAATCAATACTTGGGCATTCGTAAAAATCGCTCAATGCACCCAATCCAGTCTGGCACATCCTCTTGGCTTTTCAG